CATTTCCTTATTTTATAAATTTTCTCTTCCCTCTTTTTTTTTGTAATCTAGACTTTAGCTCTGGAGATTTAATTGGGAATCCCAGAACACTTAATCATGTTGTGCAAACTCTATAAAGAGACCAAGAAGCTGTTGCCCAAACAGAATAAGGGTACATGACAGGCTTTAAAATTAGGAAAGGTGTTGTCAGGATTGTATCCTTTCTTCATACCTATTAAATCTGTGTGCTGACCAAATCATTGGTGAAACTAGATTATACAAAGAAGAATGTAGCATCAGAATTGGAGGAAAACTCATCAACAACCTGCACTATGCAGATGACACAACCTTGGTTACAAAAAGTAAAGAGGACTTGAAGCATTTATTGCAGAAGACCAAAGACTACAGTCTTCCTTTGCTAGAGATTACGTCTCAACATCAGGAAAACAAAACTCTTCTCAACTGGACCAGTAGGCAATATTATGATAGTGGAGAAAAGATGGAAGATGTCAAGGATTTAATTTTTTTTTCTTCTTGTTGTATATCATTGAATTGGATCAGACATAAAGATTGCCCCGCCTTCTCCAGAGGAGCATCTGGTGGATTCGAACTGCACGCCTTTGGGATTGCAGTGCGGCTTCTTGCTTCTAGGCTACCAGAGTTCCCTCAATAATTTAATATTTACTTGGATTCAGAATCAACACACAGAGTCACAACAGTCAGTAATTCAAAAGATATGTTACACTGGGAAGATCTGTCTTTCCAAAGTGCTGACAAGCAAGGATATCACATTAAATACTAAAGTGTACCTAATCCAAACCACAGTATTTTTCAATTGCTTACTATGCATATGAATGTTGGGTAATGAATAAAGATGACAAAAGAAGAGTAGATGCCTTTGAGTTGTGATGTTAGAGAAGGGTACTGAATATCCCACGGACTGACAAAGGAACAAACACTTTTGTCTTTGAGGAAGTGCAACTATGGTGCTTGTTAGGCTCAGGGATGGTGAAACGTCATCTCATGTACTTGGGCATATTGTCAAGCAGGCCGGTGTCTGGAAAGGGCCGTCATGCTGGGAAAGGTGGAGAGCCAAAGAGAGGAAGATGCCCGAAAGGATGGTTGACACAGTTACTGTAATAATGGGCTCCAACATTCCAGAGATTGAGAGGATGGCTTAAGATATAGCAAGATTCAGACCTGTTGTTCAGAGTCTGAGTCATAGGTAACTTGAGGGCATGTCACAAAAACAAGAATAAAAATTCATCAGAGGTGGACCAAATTCATGTTGTGTTGTACCAAATCCCAAAACAAACCCGTTCCCCTTGAATCTTCTTTGACTCACTGCAACCCTGTGTAACAGAGCAGAACTGCTCCTGTAGAGTCTCCATTCAAATGTTACAGTATTTTTCCAGGAGGAAAGGGGGTTCAGGAGCAGAGAAAGGTGTGGGACAATCGCTTTCCAGTCATATTTTTAACAAAAACGCACTATTGGTTTGCTTGTCCCTCCTCTGTCGCCTTGCAGTCCCACCCTACTTTTCTGGCCCTTCACAAAACACATCACATATAGGGTTGCAGCCCTGGGACTGAGAGTGGTAATCGTTTCCTTTCAAACAGTACAGAGATTGTGATACATTGTGAGACTGATTTTATTTTTTAAAATTAAGAATGAAAATTTATCTCTCACTATTCTTTTAAAAAAGCCTTTTGTTGTACTTTGAGTTAGTTTATAAAGGAAATTGTTTTTCATTTAATCATTCATGCATTTTTAGGACATTAGTCGTCATCATCATCATCATCATCATCATCATCATCATTTCATTGTCATTAAGATGGAATCAATTCAGAGATGACCCTCTATTGGGTTTTTAGTAGCTCTAAATTGCACAGGAGGAGATTTCCCATCTTTCTCCTGAGGAGCAACTGGTGAATTTGAACCTCCTGCCTTTGGGTTGGCAGCTTAACTCCATACCCACTAGGCCACTAGACCATTAATTATAGTCTGCACACAATAGTACTTTTCCTACCATTTCCTTGTTATTCTCATCTTTCTATCCTATCCCTTACTGCCTTCTGAGTTTTATTGCTGGGCAGATGCTGCCCTTTTGATTTTTTGTGGTTCATTGCTCTAAGGAGTGTATTCTCCCTGGTGATGTATAACCCACCTTATGTTGTTATTGTTCTTATGTGCCCTCATGTCGCCTGTGACTCAGCCCTGAGACCTGCTCTATCCTGTACCAACCTTATTGTCTCTGACACACCTACCCCCATTTGCCCAGTCACTGAGTCAATCCATCTCATTAAGTGTCTTCTTCTCCTACGCTGTCCCTCCACCCTCCCAAGCATAATGGCCCTCTCAAAGGACTGGTACCTCCCTGTAACATGCCCAAAGTGTGTCAGACAAAGCCTGCCTCCAAGGAGCAGCTAGATTTCACCTTCTCAAGAAGGAAAGAAAAAGAAAAAAAAATAGATTTCACCTTCTCTAGGACCAACCTGCTTGTTCTCCTAGCAGTCCTTGATATATTCAGTACTCTTCTCCAGCACCACAGCTCAAAGGCATCAATTTTCCTTCTATCATCCCTAGTTATTGTTCAGCTTTCAGATGTTTAGCAAGTAATTGCGAAGATGATGGCCTGGATCAGGTGCACCTTAGTCTCCAAACTGACATCGTTGCTCTTCAGTACTTAGGAGATGTCCTTGACAGCAGACTTTCCTAATGCAATTTGTCTTATACATCAGACTTTTCAACTGGAAGTTGATTCATGGGAATAAGTTCAATTCTAGGCTTGAAGGGTGACTGAAGGCTATAGTCTCAAGGATTCTACCAGTCCATTGACTGGCAGGCTGAGCCATTTTATAAATTTTTAATTTCTTTCCCCATTTCCTTTTAGAGAATTTTTTAGAGAATCTGGTCTCGAGACAGTGGAGGTTGAGGTTTACATGGTGCATTAGTCTCTTGGACCCGTTGTTTTATGTGCTCTGATTTTCTTCATTCCTCTTTGTGTCAGACAGGGAGACACCAATAGTTGTACTTTAGATGGCTACTTTCCAGGTTTTAAGACCCATATCACTACTCTCCAAAGTATGTAATACCTGTTCTTTGTGGATAATGCTCTGGAAGGCTGTAAACGTCACAGGGGCTGATGCCACAACATTTCTCCTTAGAGGAGCTTCCCACTGAATGTCTTTTGATTCTCAGCCAAGTGCCCACTTAGCCACTGTGTCACTCGGGCTTCTGCTGATTTGTATCAAGAGGTCGTAATGTCTGATCATCTCATTACTGGTGGTGTAAGTGTGACTTGCCATTCTTAAGTTCTCAGTCAACTTGTTATGAGGATTCATCATCATGCGGATACCTACACTTTGCCAGAAACAATTTATTTCTTAGGGATTCCTAAATAGTAGTTTTTAAAATTCTATCACTACTTCTTTTTTTAAAATTTTATTTTTTTATTATTAATTTTAATGAAAATTTACAGACTTTGGATTTTCATTCATTCATTGTTGCATTTTTCTCTCTACACCCCCCCCACCCCACCCAGTGAATGCTTCTCTTTGAAAAGTAAAAGAAGAATTCTTCCAGTATTGGATTTTTACTGGGAAGTATTTCCCCCTAATTATTTGGGCTACCTGACTACCCAATAATGCACTTCTTGTGGGGTAGGTAGGAGAAAAGTTAACCCCCCACCTTTTAATTGACAAATTCTGAATAAGGAGTTGATACTTTAGAGAAAGATGGTTCCCCTCCCCCTCCATTTTATAATTAGGGATGTTGAGGCTCACAGATGTGAGTAATGTTCAAGGCCCCAATAGCTTTTAAAGGAACAGAACTGATATTTGATCCTATATCTATCTCATCGTCTTCCAAATATATGATGTTTCCCATAAACTGAAATTCACCTCTGCCCTTGAACTCCACAAATTCTGACAGCTAAAGCTTGCGACTAATAATATATCTGCTGCATTGTCCTTTAGAAACATTCAGCTTTATAAGTATATACAGAACTAACTCTCTCTCTCTCTCTCTCTATATATGTGGTGTGTGTGTGTATATATATATATGAATATATATATATATATGAGATGTGTGTGTATATATGAATATATATATATATGAGAGGGGTGTGTGTGTGTGTGTGTGTGTATATATATTTTTTTTTTTTTTTCCTGGAAATGATGGAGGGTTAGAGAAAGAGAGGAAGGATCCTCAACAGGATGAATTGACACAGTGACTGCAGCAGTTCTGGTGTTTTTAGGGTTGCTGCGAGTCATAGTCTAATGTCTGGCACAAAACAACAATAAAACGGCAGTTAGACTTTCCTCATGCTTAAGGTGGTCAGTGGCCCAGTCATCTTCTGCTTCATGCCTCATCAGTTAAAGAAGATTCACACTCCTGCTGGCCCAGGCCAGGCCCTAGATTCCCAAAACACCTTCATTTTATCTCAGACAGATAAATTCATGCTATCTCTATTTTGCCTATAGGGGGCTATAGGAAACCCAGTGAAAAAGATGCTATTGTGTGTAAGCGGAAGTCTTCTGAAGCAGTTACCTAGATTTAAAATGTATACAGTACTGTAAATCTTTGAGAAGGTAAAATCAAATTCAGATGAAACATGTTCTGTGCTTCAGAATAACTACCGCTTACCTGCATCTTCAGGGTCTTTGGCGGTCCATTGGCTAAGCACTCAGCGGCCGACCGATACACTGGCAGTTTGAACTCAGCAGCTGCTCTGTGAGAGAATGCAGTGACAGTCTGCATCAGTCAAGGTTGGAAACACTATTCCATTCTGTCCTCGAGGGTCAGGATGGGTCAGAATTGACTTGTTACATAAAGACACTTTCTGGAAAGATAAATTGATTATCTAAAGATAGCATTTTTAATTTGGGGCCTAACTTTAAGGAAGCATTAATCATGCCCAATGTTAATTTTTTTTAAGTTTGTATAAAACTACATTTTGTTTTCTTCTGTGGAGCCTGTTTCTAAGCTGAATGTGTTTGCCTTCCCTCTGTACGGCTTGCAGGCATCGCAGAGAGCCTGGCCCTGTCCGTTCCTGGCTGCAGTGTGTTTCTCTTTGGTGAAGCTGACCTGCCTGAGAAGAGAAGTCTGGTCCAGAGAAGGAAGCAACTGGGCTGGTTCATGAGGAGGGACTTCTGTGCTCTGGAGCCTGACCTGGGGGCCGCACCTGCTCGAAGATGTGGTTTAACAGGTTCTGTGCATGGCTTTCATTCTTTGGTTTGTCCTTAAAACTTGCTTATAGAATCCTGGGTCTCCTACTTAGTGACTCTCATGGTATCATGTGTTATTGCTAAAAGCTGACAATTTGAATCCACCAGGTCCTGCATGGGAGAAAGATGGACAGTCTCCTTCTCTAAAGACAGCCTCAGAAACCCTGTGGGGGGGGGTCAGGGTGAGTTGAGGGGTTCAAAGACAGTGAGGGTGTTTGGTTCTCACCGAGTAGGGAGCACCATGGCATGGCTTCTTGAAATTGATAAGGGAAGACCTCTTGGCTCTTACCAGCTCCCAGGCCCTCATAAGCTCAGCAGTTAGGTTAGAGCCCCTGTCATATGTCTGATGGAGGCTCTAAGGGTTGATAATAGAGCCGTGGAACAACCCTTGTGGCATGGCCACTGCTGGTGGGCTGGGCTGCAGCACCTGCCGAGGACCCTGGAGGCCTCCTGACTTGCTAGGTGTTAACATTTTCACTGGTTGATGGTGGAGATGTGGTCCAGGGTGGACCACTATCAGGGTGTTGTTATTTTTAGGTGTTGTGGAGTCAAGTGCGGCTCATAATGACCCTAGAAACAGCAGGTAGGGCCCTGGATAAACAGTTCCTTTTGGGTAGGGAGCTCCAGTGGCCAGCCCATAGGGTGTTGCATTGCCATCTCAAAGGTCAGCACAAGCCAGTTGGTGCTCAGCACTGCATAGCAAGGTGCCCTGGGGAAGAGCTGTTGTCGACAGTGGGCTCCTTGAACAGAACACAGAACCAGGAAACAACAGCCCTTCTCCGCTTTGTGTCTGGATTACCACAGGAAAAAGAAAGTGCTTACCTCTAAAACTTGATCCCTGGTAGCCAAGCTCCACTGTCCTGTTGTTGTCGTGTACTGTCAAGTCAGAACCGACCCATAGCTGACGCTCTGCTGGGTTTTCAGAGGCAGCTAATCATGGGTGGAGATTGCCCATCCTTCCTCCATGGAGCAGCTGGTGGATTTGAACCATGTGCCTTCAGGATTGTAGTGCAGCCTCTTGCTACTAGGTTACCTGAGCTCCCTACTCCACTGTCCTAATGTCATTTATTTGAGTAGTTATTCTTTCATTATCAAATACCTTCTGATGGGTCATAAGTTAAATCATGTTGGATAACATTTTAATGTCCAGTAATAACCTTAGAACCAGTTAGCGCAGACTGGATTCTGACTCATGGTGACTCTTTGGCAGGGTTGAACTGTACTCCATAGGCTTCAATAGCTGATTTATTTATTTTTAGAAGTAGGTCACCAGGCCTTTCTTCTGAGGACTTGAACCTCCAGCATTTCAATCAGCAGGCTAATACATTAAACATTTGCTCCAGGAACTATAGTAACTCCTTATCAGCAGGTCAATTCTGATACACAGAACAGAACAGAACAGAATGTCCCCATAGGATTGCTCAGGCTGCGATATTCACAAAAAGGGACTGTCACATCTTTCTCCCACGGAGCAACTGGTAAGTTTGAACGCATGACCTTCTGGTTAACAGCAATGCATTTGATACCTTCAAATTATACATCTCCAAGGAGCATAAGGTGAGTACACATAAGAAACACATTTACTCATGGTCCAGCTTTGCTAAAACCTTTCAAAATCCACTGCACATATGCCTTTGCTTACTAAACCCTGGCGTGGAATTCTGGTCTTAACCGAATGACAACATCTGTTATCAAGTTGAATAATGCAATGTAAAAAGCACTGGCTTTGACACAAAGCTCAGATTTGGCCTTGCTCTTTACTGACTGTGTGACCTTGGGGGTTCTATGATCTCTTTAAGCCTTGGTTCTTATATCTATACAATGGACATAATAATAGTACCTCCCTTATAAAGTGGTGCAGTAAAAAAGAAAAGTCTGTAAAAAGCTGAACATAGTCCTAAAATGGTCAATTTCTATTCTCTATAAAGAAGAGATTTATTGAACTAAAACGTACATTTTTTAAAAGTTATTATAAAAAAAGTTATTATAAATGTATTTCAGCATTTAGTTACGGAAAGAAGGAGCAAACTGCTCCCTGCCAATTTGAGCCTCACATTTCCCACCATGATTTGTCTCACAAATGGAGAAGTGTAAGTTTTGTGATTACATTTTCAGAAATCTATTTCCTGGTTTCTAATTTGAGCTTTTCTGAAGACTGAAGGGATCATCCTGCAAACCTCATCAGTTCGTGTTGGGGGGACTGGGAATAGGGCCAGGTGGACAGGCATTGTAAACAGGTACCCTGGTGTTAGAATATGGAAGAAGCAGATTTAGTTTTAGGTTATGCATAAACTTGAATAACCTAATTCTCATTTTTGCAGTTCTGTGGGAAGGAATGGATCGGTTCTGGAGAACCTAATAAAAAGAGCGTATCTGATTTAAAGTACAAGTGTTCATATTATCATTAATCATATTTCCTCTCAAGAACAAATTTGATTTGTAATTCTTTAAATAAATGTGAGCATTTCTTCATCTTAGGTCTGTCTGTGGTTAGGTGTCAGCTCTGTCTATGTTCATGTTTATTTTGTGTTGTTTGATTTGAAATAGGCAACTCATTCAGATTTCTCAATTCTTCTCTATTTCTAAACCCCACTGTTCTCAAGATCTGTGTTTTACATAAAGGAGTCCATCCAAACTACAGCTCCTATGTTAAAATTTTAAGATGTCAGAATTAGCACAAACAATGTTTAGAGACGATATTTCAAAGGAAATAGCAATACTGGTTAAAGTGCATTTAGATATACTCCTATTGTTCATGATGGTAAAACTTGTTGCCAGTTTTTTGGTAATGAGTTAGTAATAGCCAAACAAAATTCTGAAAATGCATATACCTGCCTTTCAGGAATTCTAGTCCCAGTGATAAATCCTAAGAGTGTGAGAAAAGGTATATGCAAACATATATTTGTTTTGTTGTGGTGTACTATCAATTCATTATCAATGCATAGCTGACCCTCTAGTGGGGTTTCAGAGCTAGTTTAATTGGATTTTCAGAGGTCGTATGAGAGCAAATTGCCCAGCTTTCTCCCATGGAGCAGCTGATGGAATCAAACTGCGTGCCTTTGGGGTGACAGCACAGCTACTTAACTGCTAGGCCACCAGAGCGCCCTTAAGGAATCATTATTTGCAATAGTAGACACCACAAACAGTTCAAGTATTCAGAATATAGGAAGGATTAAAGGTTGTGATTGTTGTTTTGTATTGTTGAATCAGAACAGGTTTTCAGAGGCTGTAAATCACACAGAAGGAGCAGCTGGTGGATTTGAACCATGCCTTTGGGTTGGTAGTAGAACTACTGTTGCTGCAAATGACGGCAAATGGGTTTCCAAGCACGGTCGTCAATTTAAAAAGTGTGTGGCATTGTGTTAATAGTGATCTGTCAGAACCAAGTAAGGCCTACCATATTCAAAGAAAAGATTATTACTGAGAAGTTAAGCAAGAATTTGGGGAGATACAATACAATGTAGAGATAGTTTAGTTAATGCAGTAGGTATTTATTAATCACCTAGTAGGGCACGTTGGTGGCCTAGTGGCAAGAAGCTGTGCTGCAATGCCGAAGGCCCATTGTTCGAGGCCACCAGCTGCTTTGTGAGAGAAAGAAGAGTCTCCTCCCATTTAATTAACTGCCTCTGAAAACCCGCCAGAGGGTCAGCTATGAGTCGATTTTGACCCAGTGGTATACAACAACAGCATATACTTGACACTGTTGTCAGTGGGCCAAATAGAACTTTTTAGTGCTTATTGAATTTGTATTCTAGTGGTAGGCAGTGAGGAGACAGATAACAACAGACTCAATAACTGAATTACATAATGTACTAGAAAGTGATAAGTCTTCTAGAAAAAAGAACAAAGATTTTGGGATAGTAAAGAAAATAATAATAATAATAATTTCTAGAGGGAGTGATTGTGAGCTCAAATGAGATAATGTGAAGTGAGCCTCATTGTGAAGGCAGGATTGGAGTAAATGAAGAAGGCCATTAGCCACATGGAGTTATGGAGAAGAGGTTAGGCAGAAGGAATAGCCAATGTCAAAGCACATGAAGACAAAGTAACATAGACAGTGCGATCTCAGTATTGTAAAATCAACAATACATATTTACATATATCAGTTTAGAAGGGGTCATGGTACTAGGGATATTATAGCTAATGTTAGATGGATCTTGGCTGAAAGTAGAGCGTACCAGAGGAATGTCTGTCTGTGCTTCATTGATTATGCAAAGGCGTTTGACTGTGTGGATCATAACAAACGGTGGCTGATTCTGAGAAGAATGGGAATAGCAGAACACTTGATTGTGCTAATGCGAAACCTATACTTGGACCAAGAGGCAGTCGTCAGAACAGAGCAAGGAAAAACTGCATGGTTCAAAATTGGGAAGAGCGTATGCCAGGGATGTGCCCTGTCTCCATACCTTTTCAACCTGGATTCAGAACAGATCATCTGGGAGGCTGGGCTTTATGAGGAGAAATGTGGCATCAGGATTGGTGGAAGATCTACCAACAATCTACATTATGCAGATGACACAACCCTGCTTGCTTAAACTGAAGAGGACCTGAAATACTTGCTGCAGAGGGTCAAGGACTCCAGCCTTTAATATGGATTGAGGCTCAATGTCAAGAAGACAAAGATTCTCAAGGGTGGACCAATTGGCAGCATCAGGATGGATGGTGAAAAGATTGAGATTGTTCATAGCTTAAGTCTGCTTGGCTCCACAGTCAACACTCTTGGCACCAGCAGCCAGGAAATTAAAAGACATATTGCCAGGGGAAAGGACCTCTCTAAAGTACTGAAGAGCAACAGTGTCTCTCTGGAGACTAAGGTGTGTCTGATACAGGCCATGGTGTTTGCAATCACTTGCTATACATCAGAGAGTTGTACAATGAGTAAGGAGGATAGAAGGAGAATTGATGGCTTTGAGCTGTGGTGCTGGAGAAGAGTATTGAGGGTACCATGGACTGCTAAGAAAACAGATTCAGCCTTGAGAGGGTTAAACTGGTCTGCTCCTTAGAGGCAAGGATTCTGAGGCTTCATCTGACATACTTTGGTCACGTTGTAAGGAGAGACTGGTCCTTGGAGAGGGACATCATGCTTGGGAGGGTGGAGGGACAGTGCAGGAGGGGAACGCCCTCTATGAGGTGGATTGATTCAGTGACTGGGGTAATCTGAATGGGTGTGTCAGATACAGTGAGTTTGGCACAGGACAGAGCAGAGTTTAGGGCTGTTGTTGTACATAGGGTCGCTATGAGTCTCAAGCTACTCAATGGCACATAACAACAGCAACAACAACAACAACAACATATCAAGAACATGTTTTTAAATTCTAGATCCTGATTTATTCTATCTTCTCTAAGCTGACCTAGTGATAATTTTTCATCTTCTTCCTGAAAAGTAACTATTAAGATTTATATCAACATTTGATTTTATAGAAGATGGACCTGAATGTGTTCATTCAGATGAGATTTGATCAAAGATTCAGAATATTTTTTTTACAGGGCAAGAGGAAAAATGTGAAATAACCCCATATATCTTTCCCACTAGTGTCTCTCAATGACAGTAATGTCTTCTGACAACCTAGTTTGTCTGAGAAATAGGGACATTATTAAAGGTGCCAAGATTACGCAGCGTGCCCTTCACTGCAGCCCACCAAGAATGACACCTTATTTAATAGGTTCAAAGCAGGTGCTAGTGGCAGAAAAAGAACAGATTTGCAAGGATGGTCAGTGAGTAGGGAAGTAGATAAATTATTAACTTCTAATATTCCACAATCCAGCCTGTAATTAATGTTTAAGGAACATGATCAGTTGAAGCCCTAGGTTACCTTAATTCCATATATTATCTGTGGAAAGCTGAATATCAAATTTAATATTAATAATAAACCAAATGCAATATCAGGATATGAGAGACTGTGTAATACAAGGTGGAGTTCACCCTGATGCATTAAGGCATTCCTTTAAAGTTTCTTAGTTTGTATTTACTGAATCCCTCCCTCCTGAGATAAGCATAAGGTAGACAATAGAGAAAAACTCCCCTTATTTGCAAAAGACTTCCCCATGATCCTTTGTTTTTGTTTTCTACTCCCTTGTGATTTTCCTTTGTTTACCTTCCTGATGATTCTCAATAAATACAGAGTGGTGTGGCTTGAGGTGCTTCAGTCATCAGTACTCCTGCCCCCCTGTCTTTAAGCTCTGCGTTTTATCTCATTCCTGGTTGTGGGTCTCATTATTAATAATTATAAAAATACTTTACCCTTGGTCTGCAACAATTATCCCTTAAACAAATACTCATTTATAAAAGAGTAAAAGCCTTTCACTTTTGAAGTAGTGTCTTTGAAATAGAATTTAGACCATCTCTTTCATTAGAATAGGAATATTATTCTTCCAGTTTTTTAAAAAGTTTAGTTCCCAACAATAATGATTTCCTCCCTTATTCTCTAGCTTGACGTCTTTATTGATTTGCCTAACATTTGTAAGGTCACAGCAATGTTTCTCAACACATTTTTATGCTCCTCCCATCAAAACAACAGCAACAAAACCCCCTGGCACGTTGTTGCTATGTTTATTTCTCTTGCTAAAAAAAAAATACAGAGATGATTAGTGTTATCAATTTAATACTGATAGTCCACATTTCAGCAATAAACTATACAGTTGGCCAAAAGGAAGCAAACTTATATGAGAACAGGTTTCTGTTTTGAAATTCTCTTAGAATATTATAAACAGTCTAAGGGTGGATGGGGGAGTGAACCCAGAAATGATTAACACCCTCAGTCAGTGCCAAACACACAAAATCTTTGAAGCCAAATTCCTTTTAAAGTTTGTAGTTGGCCAGCTCCTAGGGAACATAAGTGAGGGCAAAGCAGTAATAGTTGATACTCTTGGGTCTATAAATAAACACTTTATACATATATATTTTAAAATCCTAAACGTTTATGGGGTAATTTAAACTGAGCTGTCTGATATGTTGTATAAAGTGTCTGCATGTATGCACCATTGTTAAATAAAAAGCTCAGGGGAAATGCTTTGAACTGTTATCACATATGATGCCTTAGGAATCAGAATAGATGTAATTGGTACATTTGGGACTCAAGGCCTTCTAGTGACTAGTGAAAGCTGCTGCGGCTGTGTCTCCACTGTAAAGAGTTACAGCACCGAGCACGTTCCTTCACACTGAATAATCCAGTTATTCCACAGCAGAATTTTAACCCAGTCTTTGAGAAAAGACTTATTTCTCCCTTTAAAATTAGTCTTGTTCAGAAGAACAGATTTTCTGAGAGCTGAAACTTCTGCATGCTGGTAAAATGAGTTGGGATAGTAGGAAATGAAGATCTCATTGTGTAGTGAAATATATCCCCCATCATTGAAATATGAAGGATGGACACTTGGTTTCTGTGTAAACCCAGGAAGGACACTGTTGTCACAGAACTTGGGACGAGTCAAGCCGCAGAAGGCCCCTCACACTTGGACAGGCTTCACAGCATGCTATGTGCTATGCACCCTGCTTCTAAATTTTTTCTTCAGGATTATTGTGACTTGAATTCTCCTAAGTGGGAAACTCATAGGCATTTTGCAGAAAGATGGCTCATCAGACAGGCTGCAGAGTTGGGACGTGAGTTGAGACTTGCCTGGTGCTCCGCTGCTCTCCTTGAGCCTTCCTTTCTGTGGATGTGGCTGCATGTCTATGAATCCCACAGCCTCCCTCTCCTAGGGCATCAGACTAAACCAAATATATTCAAGGATTATGGCTGTAGTCATCATATGTCCTCAATTCCAACTGTGGTTTCTCGTCAGTGCATGTTCTAACAAATTTAAAGTACCAATACATAATGATGCCTAATTGCTTTTAGTGTAATAACTGTTTATATATTTGAGCCTGTGTTTTAACGTGTTGTCTTGTTAAGTTACTATCAAGCTAAGACCATATATGCTAAGGGCTTATCTTATTTTACTACCTTCTTTTTTCTTTGTACCCAGTAACCTGCACAGTTCTTGCACACAGCAGGTTTCCAGTAAAAGCATGCTTGATGAGGGAGCTGCGCACTGGTCAAGGAGAATCTCTGTTTATTCAGAGTGTAATGTTTTGAATAAATACACAGATTTGAAACACTCTTCAGATAATTTTTTTTTTTAAAAAGAGTGCCAAACCCTAAAACACCACCTCAGCTGGCTCGCTCTTCATACATATTTAAATACCAGCCACCAAAGAGGAGCTTAATAGAATAGAACTTCTAAAGACAGCCCTAAGTACCTCCTGACCCCTTAAAATGAAACTCTTTCTGGGGAGGCAAAAAAAAACATATAGAATCCTTTCACAAATCTGATTTATTGAACATGATGGTGCCTGGAACTATTTTTGAGAATAATTTAGATCTAAAGTGGGGGGAAATACATATGTTTCTTCTGAGTGCTGTTTTTTAGTTTTCTAATAGGCTCTTCACCATTGTTTTGTCTAAATGCAGTTTTTTATTTGTATTATTCCAGACGTGGTCCTGCCACTGCATCTTTAAACCAGACATTAATAGCATAGTTCACAGTCACTACTGCCAGTGCTCAAACACAAATATTGCATTTGTGTTTGCAAAAGCTACACATCAGATGTTAATTAAGTGCATTTGGGGTGGGGTTTGCTTTTTTTTTAGCTTGGTTTTTTTTTTTTTTCTGCTTAAACAATCTGGCATAAAGAGTTTACATCTCTATCAGTTCACCAGAAGGTCTCAACAATATCTGAATCACCAGCCGCACAGTATATGATAAATACAGTGTTTCCACATGAGAAATAGAACAGGATCGTCAGGGAAACATCAGGCCTGTTATATTTCCCTGTGAAATAATAGCAACTGAATCTCAGTTTCCTTTTCTTTTTGATAAAAAAAAAAGAGTAACTAAGAGTAAACACCAATATTTAGAATGATAAATTTTCATTAAAGAACACATGGAAAATGAAATCGTCCCAGACTCCCCCCTCCCTTTCTTGTTTTTAGCTTGCTTCGGGGCGTTGTGACAGTTGTGTTGGAATAGAATTGGAATTTCAGCCTTGCGGTGAAGGGGCTCAAGCTGCCACGATGCAGCCAAGTGCCAATCTGCGGGAGGCAGAGCAGAGCGAAACCGCAAACTGAGAAACAAACTTTCACATCAGGGTTCTCATTTTAGACAAAGACTCCCCCCCAAAAAATATTTTAAAAAATCTTTACTTCTATGGCATTTAACTACAAGTACAAATTGTTAGGATTCATTATCTCTCTTCTTTAAAAATTCTTAGTAGGTTAAAACATAAAAAAAAAAAAATCAAATCCAGTATTTGAGTCATGGGATTGCAGGTTTTAAATGCCGAATTCACTTCATTGCAATTAGATCACCATATTGATGTTGAACTTGGAAGGATTAAATGGAGGAAATTGGAAAAGCATGAATTTGGGCAGAAAAAGGTGCTGTTTTGTTTTGTTTTGTTTTGTTTTTGTTTTAAAGGGAGAAATGGGTCGTGACCCCATCACCTCCTAGGGCTGCGGGGAGGTGTTAGTTACTACCCTGATCAGAAACTTTTCAAATTCATTAGCTATCTCTGTTTATTTTATCTTTTAAAAATGTATTTATTCATTCATTCATTCATTCATTTATTTTTCTTTTCTTATACCGGCAAATCGGATCTGACTGGCACAGAAGGAGATTGCCCCTCCTTCTCCAGTATAGCGTCTGGTGGATTTGAACCAAGTACCTTCGAGATTGCAGTACAGCTTCTTGTCACTAGGCCACAAGAGCTCCCTTCTGTCTCTGTTTATTCACAACTTGGATAAAATATTGCAATACAACAACATAAAACTATAATGTTACTGAAGTTTAATGGATGACTTTACAATGCCCACATACAGCCAGGACATAAATGAAAAATAATAGCTTCTGTTTCTTTTAAGTGGTTACTTATTTTGTTTAAAAGTGAATTTAAAACCGTTTTCTGTTTCTGAATTTTATTTTTTCTAAGACATAATTGCCTGTAAGTATGCTTTGGAGGAACTTCTGGAGATGGGGCTTCATTTTGATGAATTAGTATTGGGAGCTGCCCTTCATGGAACTCTTGTGGTCAGGGCTTCTTAGCGGCTCAGCTATCTCTCCATTTACCCCTTTATCTTAGGCAAATCAATTGATTTATTAGCAGGAATGACCAACTTTGGAAACCTCACTAGAAAGGGAACAATTATTGGGAACATGATATCTTGGAAAATGTTGAGTGGGAGACACAGGAAAATCCCAGGGCCAATAGGATGAAGTGATGTGAGGTTAAAGGGAGTGGGAGACATCCTGTGACCAAACATAGAAACTTCAGTTGAAGGCGACTTTCTCCCTCAAGGCGAAGCATGACATGTGGCTGCCCAATGCTGGCTGTGCATATCAGGTGTGAGGTAACAAAGCTCGAGAGACCTGACAGGTATTTTGAATGGCAGTGATGTTATCCCAGTTTGTATAGTTCTGAGCAGAACCTGAAGATGCCTTCCTGTTTTGTTGCATCAATCATAAAGATGTTGAGTCAGAAGAGAGTAACTGTATCAGATTTTAGGAAATGGGACTATTTGTAACATTACCTGTTGAAGGGTGGAGGATGGGGAAACCCTGGTTGGATGTCTTCCCCTGATGAATGACAACGTTAGCATTGACAGGGGGGAAAATGATTCCAATTGTACTCTGTGAAATGTTAAGACTGATAGAATTTGCAGAGATATTTAGAGTAAGTGACTGGTGTATGAGATTATGAGAGAGAGATGTATTGACTGTTAGGAAATTTAATTTTTATGGAATCAGCATTATGGAGAAATGCTGTAATCTGATTCATTCCTGTAGAATTCCCAGTAGGAAGAGGCCCAACCTCGAGAGTTGAAATGTTTCATTATGAACATGTGTGGGAAAAAGATGAAATGCGGTTTCCGTGTACTGATTTTCTGCGAAATGTCTATTACTATGAGAGTAGCCAGGCTTGGGAACAAAGCCCCTAAACCACAGCAATCTAGGGAAACGTGAACCAACCCCAAAGGTACTTCTTTGATGGGTACTGACATCATAAACAATAAGTCCGAGAGTAGCAAGAAAAGGCACTGATAGTAAAAGAATGTTGACATGTAGCTAGAGAATCGTCACATGCTGAGGATGAGGTCAGCCTTTCATCCCCCACTAATCCTTAGTCAACTTTGTTTTTAGAAATGCAAGTTTCCCCAAAAATAAGGAAACTGCAGACCTAAGCTTTTTCTACCAATGCTCATTTAACCAAGTTGTCCATCTTACAATATAAACTATAATTAGAGCACAGCTATTTGCGTTACATGAGCTGCACCATCCCAGAGGCAAGGAAAAGCAGGACATTAGCGCCTGGGCTCTGGGGTGGCAGGGGCAGACCCAGAAGGAGGTTTGGAAGCTGGGATGGAAGAAAGAGGTGCCTCTGTAGATTATGCAGAGTGGACGAGGCTTGTAATCACATAGTACTTCAGACCTGCCAGACCCATGCTCATATAGTATGAGAGAAAAAGGCCCTTGCCCCTTCTCGGTTCCAAGACTGTCACGTAGTGGAGACCTCCTTCCCCAGCCAAGGCTGTCAGTGAAGCTCATTTTAACCTGATGCCATGTAACTAAGCACTGCCAGGTGTTTGTGCAGGGTTGGGGATGTGGCTGTGGAATGCAGTAAAAGGTCGCTGAGATCTGAGACCTGGCCCTGAAGTCTCACTGCTGTGGAGGTGACCTTGGTCATGCATGAGAGGCTGATGGCTTGTGCATCTAAAACTTAATTCTCAAGTGCCCTTTGTCCTCTCTGATGATATTTTGAGAAGTCTGGGTTCTTTTTCTTTAATCTAGAAGGATGTGGCCTTCACATACTTTTAATTAGATAAATTTGTTTGATCTGTTATAAGGAACAAATCTTTAGAAAATTCTAAAGCATTTAAAAAAGAGGAAGATAAGTATTTTAAAAATTTTATCATGATGAAATAGATATAAAAAAGTTTGCCTTTTAGCTATTATAAAGTGTATAATTCAATGACATTCATTACATTAATGTTTTGTGCAACTGTTAACCATAATCCATTTCCAAAAGTTTGTCATCACTCCAAAAAGATATCCAATATCCCTTTAGCAATAATTCCCATTGCCTTTCTCCTCCAGCCTCATTAACCACTAATAAGCTTTTGTCTGTATGCATTTGCCTATTCTGGAGACCCGATGTACGTGGGCACATGTACTGTTTGCCTCGTTTTGTCTGGCTGACTTCACTCAGTATAATATTTTTTAGTTTTACCTGTATAATAGCATGCATCGAGTTTCATGTCTCCTTTTGACTGAATATGCCGCTGGAGCTCTGGTGGCCTAGTCTGTAGAGAGTTATGCTGGTGACCCAAAGACCCTCCCACAAGCCACTGTTCGAGAAAGGCAAGCTCCTCCCACTCAGTTTCCAGTGCAAAGTTAGCTACAATTCAGTTCCAATTTGATGGCAATGTTGTTGTTGTTGTTGTTGTTGTTATGTGCCATTGAGTTGTCTGCGACTCTTAGCGACCGTGTGTACAAGAGCTCTAAATGCTGTTCTATCCTGTGCCAACCTCGCCATCTCAAACGCACTTATTCCCACCGCTCCAGTCACAGAATCGATCTATCTCATCGAAGGTCTTCCTCTCCTTTGCCGCCCCTCCACTCTGCCAAACTTGATGTCCCTCTCCAAGGACCAGTCCCTCCTTGCAGCATGCCCAAAGTATGTCAGATGTAGCTTCAGAATCCTTGACTCGAAGGAGCATTCTGGCTTCACCTTCTCCAGGACAAACTTGTTTGTTCTTCTAGCAGTCCATGGTATATTCAACACTCTTCTCCAGCACCACAGCTCAAAGGCATCAATTCTCTTTATATTAACCCTATTCACTGTCCAATGCTCTGATGCATAGCACATAACTGCGAAGACTATAGCCCGGATCAGGTGCACCTTAGTCTCCAGCTCTGACGTCGTTGCTCTTCAGTACTCTTGAGAGGTCCCTCACAGCTGACTTTCTCAATGAAATTCATCTCTTGATTTCCTGGCTGCTGTTACCAAGAGTGTTGATTGTGGAGCCAAGCAAACTGAAACTGTTAACTATTTCCATATCTTCACCATCCATACTGATGTGCCAGTTGGTCAGTGGTGAGAATATTTGTTTTCTTGATGTTGAGCCTCAATCCATATTGGAGGCTGCAGTCCTTGACCTTCTGCAGCAAGCGCTTCAGGTCCTCAGTTTCAGCAAGCAAGATTGTGTCATCTGCATAATGCAGGTTGTTGATGATTCTTCCACCAATCCTGTCCTCTTCGTATAGCCCAGCGTCTCGGGTGATCTGTTCTGCATACAGATTGAAAAGGTATGGAGACAGAATACATTCCTGATGGACCCCCTTCTTGATTTTGAACCATGTAGTGTCTCCTTGCTCTGTTCTGACGACTGCCTCCTTGGTCCAAGTATAGGTTTTACATTAGTACAATCAAATGTTCTGGGATTCCCGTTCTTCTCAGAGTCAGCCACAGCTTATTGTGATCCACACAGTCAAAAGCCTTTGCATAGTCAATTAAGCACAGAGAGGGTTTTTTAATATGTGTGGTTGTTGTGATGTGCCATCAAGTCAGAACTGATTCATAGCTGACCCACCAACAGATTTTTAGAGGCACATGAGTAGACTATCCATCTTTATCTCAAGGAGCAGCTGGTGGATTCGAACCACATCACATGCCTTTAGGTTGGCAGGGCAACTCTTTATCACGAAGCCACCAGAACTCCATGTCTTTATGTAGAAACCATATTTTGTTTATTCTTTCATCTGTTCTTAGACCCTTGGTTTGTTTCCACCTTTTGCCTAATGAGAATAATGCTGCAATGGACATTGTTTTAGAGTGTTTCTGTTTGTGTCCGTGTTTTTAAGTCCCTTCCATGTATACCAAGGACTGGAATGCCTGAATTTTACGGTATCGTAAAGATCAGTCCTAGAATGGCATCATACTTGGTGAAGTAGAGAATCAGTGAAAAAAGATGGGACCTTCAGTGAAATGGGTTGTCACAGTGGCTGTGAAATGGCCTTATGCATAGCAGAGACTGTGAGGATAGTACAGGATCAGCGAGTGTTTCATTATACTGTAAAGAAGGCAATCATGGGGTAGAGCCAACTTGACAGCACCTAAGTAAGGGAGCTCTGGTGGCCTAGTGACAAGAAGCTGTGCTGCAATCTTGAAGGCACAGTGTTCAAGGCCACTGGCTGCTCTCTGGGAGAAGGATGGGCTCTTTCCATGTGATTTACTGCCTCTGAAAACCCACCAGCGTGTCAGCCAAGGGTTGGTTCTGACTCTGTGGTGCACAACAATAACAACAACAGCACAATTCTGTTTGTCTTTTAGAAGAACTATTTATTTTTTCCTTGTAACAGCACCATTCTGCATTCCCACCAGCATTGCAGGAGGGTTCCAATCTCTCCACATCCTTCTCAGCCCATGCTAGTTTTCTTTTTCTGATATTACCATTCTAGAGGGAGTGAAGTGATACTGCATTGTGGTTTTAATTTAAATTTCCCTAAGAACTAACGACTTTGGGTATGTTGTTCGGTAATAAAAGCAAATAAAGGAAACTTTTGATTAAAGAGCAAATTCTTCAAACTGAGGCATTTGCTCTGCTTGATGAATGTACTTTTTCTCCTTACTCAGGTATCGGCGCTAGTCCCTACGTAATGAACTGCAACGTTACCATAGACTCTCAGGACTTGGCTGTCGGAAAGGAGATTGCCAGTGCCATTCGGGGCTCCAGTGCACATGGATTGAAGGGTGTTCAGGCCATGGCTTTTCCTCATGCTGGGAAAATTGAAATTGCCTGCAATGTGGAGAGTTTTGAAGACCAAGAAGCTGGAGGAAGCTCAGAGGACTGTCAGTATCTGACGTACAGCGTGCTTGGGAGCTGTTTTTCTTACATGTCACCTCATTACATAGAAACTCAAGTGAAGAAGCTGGCAGGCGCTCGAGGAATTGGTACTGTAGGTAGAGCATTGGTTGGATTTACACCTGAAGAGTGTAAGAATTGTGCTGAATATGCCCTACGGGAAAGTATTGGGGAGTTCTGGAAAAAACGCGGTGGTGTTTTCATGTAATCAATCTAAGCCCTCATTGAACTTTTAAGGGAAAATATCAGTCATTACAGTATTTTATGTAGTAAAGATAAGGGAAAGATACTAGTTGCATCTGGAAGTACTTACTGTCTAATAAACAATGCTTATAGATTGTCCAAATTGCCCTCTGATAGTTGTAGTCAGCACTGAAGCTTAGTGAGAAACTTTGCAGGTCTGGTAACTACTATATGGTAGATATCCTCCAAAATCAACTGGGTAAAAGAACTCTTAATTATTATGATTTATTTGGTTTTTCTGAGCTCTTTAATTCCAATGTTCCATATTTAGTGCTCATTTTTTTGAGTAATCATTCTTTTGAAGGGTCTATTATTAAAAATCAAGTACTGAATAACAAAGAAATGGGGAAAATTATAAAATACACTCACTCTTCACAGTGCAATTGCTTTTTGTTACTTTGCCTCTTAGGAGGGCATTCTGGAGAGATCTCCAAAGTCTGTATAGGTAGGTGGAGTAGCAGTGTGGGTCATTACTACATCAAGGAATTATGTTTATTCTTATTTTAATTTAAATGGGAAAGACTGAATGCTTAGGGAACATATTGCTTGAGCAAAGAGAAGGATATAAAATAAAAAAGTAAATTGGAAAAAATAGTGAAAATATGTAGTTTCTGTGACTTTAAAGAAGCCTCTTATAATGCTGGCAATTTTATGTAAATCCTTAGTATTTGTATTATTTGAGTGCAAGACAGGGAGCTCTGGTAGCTAGATCTGTAGTGAGTTGTGCTACCAACCCGAAGGCCTCTTTGGTGGTTCGAATCCATTAGTGGCTACAAGAGAGAGAGATGTGCAGTCTCCTCCCATAGGATTTACAGTCTCTGAAAACCCAGTCAGTTGTGAGTGGGTTCCAGTTGCATAGCAATACTATCCCAAGAGGAAGCTAGTACAAGGTGCTTTCTACCCATAAAGCAAGGAAAAGTCATTTTCCCAACCATGAGTTTTATTAAGAAAGATTATGCCCTTGTCTAATAAGAGCAAGTTTTGTGCATTTGTTTTAAGAAATTAAGAGGTTGAACTCAGCCAATTTCATAGGATCCAGAGATCTCTCTGAATATATATATACACACACATGCACACACACATACACACACACATTTACTTCCCAGTTATATTTTTTAAAAATAAAATTTTAATTGTGATTTTAATGAACATTTACAGAGAAGTTAAATTTTCATTCATTCATTGTTGTACGTTTTCCACTCTTTCCCCTCCCCCAGTTCACTTTTTTTTTACTATCCATTCATTGTTGCACAATTACCTAGCTCCCCACCCCAGTCCTCTTTGCAATGATATATCTCTTATTCTGGTTTGTTGTTGTACATTTAATGCCTAATTATATATTCATTTTAGACTGTTCTTTCTTTCATCTGTTTCAATGCAATGATCATTATCTGTCCACTCTTATCCTACTCTCCTCCCAACCCCCCACTTCATACCTACTTTATAACAGTGGTGGTACAAATATTTGTTCTTTTGTGACTACTTCACTCAGCATGATGTGCTCCACCCCCCATGTTGTGTAATGTTTTACAAGTTCATTTTTTCAGTGCTGTGTAGTATTTCATTGGATGAATATACCATAGTTTTTGTATCCATTCATTTTTGATGGGCACTTGGGTTGCTTCCATCTCTTTGCTATTGTAAATGCAGCAGTAAACATGAGTGTGCATTTATGTTTGGATGGTAATTATGGTTTCTTTAGGCTATATTCCCAGTAGTGGAATTGCACGGTCAAATAGTATTTCTATTTCGAACTTTTTGAGAAAGTGTCAGAATACCTCCCATAGTGGTTGCACCATTTTACACTCCCACCAATAGTGAATAAGGGTTCCAATCTCTCCACAACCTCGCCAGCATTTGTTGTTAGCTGTTCTGTTAAATTTTGCTATTCGTTACAGCCTTGGAATTCTGGTGGAGGGCCAGCCCTCGAGTTGATTTCTTCCCAAAGGCAATGAGTGAGTGATTCTTATTTGAATTCTCCTTTCCTTTAACTATTTTTCTTTATTCTGCCATGCTTCTTTAGAGGTTTCTGAAGCTGCTGTAAGTTGCTGAAGGCTTTCAAGGCAATGGATACAGTACCATGGGCTCTTCCTATGTAGTCATATGTAGTGGGCATAGCTGAGCCTTAACTATAACAATGAAAAAGCAAGAGTGAAGTTACAATCCTCCTATTACATTTGACTTTTCACATAAAAGAGAAAACCAGGAGAAAATAAGGCAAGATAAAGGAACAAATTCCCTGACTCCTATTTACCTTTTCTCACCATGGCCTCTTAGATGCAGACTGACAGTTTATGCAAACACTTCCCCCCCACCCCATCTGACCACAAAGTGGACATTGTAGGGCATGTGGCTTCATAGCTCATTTAAGCTCTGTCTCCTGCCAGGTTGGCTCATTTCTTACGCCAGCCGTGCAGAGGATAAAATCGATGTGGACAAATAAAGTTTACATTTTATCGACTCTCCACTGTTTTTGTTTTAAACTCAACTTTAAACTTCAAGCTTTACTTTCTTACAAGCGAGAGAAGGAAGGTAAAAGAAAACCGAGATGTAAGAGGCACTCCCCTGACCTCATTGGTGACAGAGGGGTTGTCATTTGTTTCCAGATTAAATTGGGACTTGAATCATGATAAATTAAAATGGCTTCAACATAAAGGGCAGAGTTAAGTGAAATGTTAACTGTAAAATAAAACAAAGAACGGGGGCAATAACGTTCATTCCTTGACATAATGAAAAGTCTTACTCTGTAATTGGTTTGTACTGTCTTGGAAGTGGCGTCCGTGGTCAACAAAGGACCACTCTATGAGAGATCTGCGAGGAATTTATCATTCCCTCTGGCTGAGCCGAAGCAGGCTCGATATACAGTTTTGTTTAGTATAAATATTCTCATGTTACTGTTTACTCTACGGGAATATGAGGATCTCACTGACAGGGTACGTGCTCCACGGCCTCGCTTTTAAAAAGCATTTATTTGACTCAGTTGTTTGTACTTGCCCAGAAACTTCAGAGCCCGGCACAGGAACTTGTTTGATAAGCATCCAGGCCCCACTCCTGGAGCGGGTTGTGCTTGGGGTTTAGAAGAGCTTATTGTTTTAAGCAAGCCCACACATGGCTGCAAAGGAGCCCACTTTTCATAGGTAAGAACAAGGAGGATACTCAGAGCAGGATTACTGGGAGAAGGGTGAGAGAATGATCCTGGTGAAGTGATTGAACTTCGGCTGACTTTTGATTCCTCTGCCACTTTTAGTCCCTGTTTGTAGTATTTTGAAGTGAATTCATTTATTGGTTATCAGGCTGTGAAATGGAGACCTGAACGTGGAACAGATTTCTCTTTCTAAATTTTCAAGGGGTCTATTTTCAACCCATTGTCTCTTAGCCCTACATCCATCCTCCCATTTTTCTGCTTCATGCTGCTGCTGCTGGGGCTTTGTAAACCGCATTTCTCATTTACCAGGTGGTTCTCTGATGCCATCATGGCGGGGTGTGAGCTCTAAGCTTAATTTTACCTAAAGAATTTTGTACTTGTCCTTGATTCCTGAGAATTTCTAAAATCTTCAAATGCCCCAGATATTAATGCGTGTCTTCATGAGGACTCCAGACAGCACCTAACAAGTAACGTCAATGAGGTGAATCTGCGCCAAAAAAGACCCACCTGTAGCCTCACCCAATGATGGTTTTGTAATATGAGCTGACTTGAGGGGGGTGGGCCACCTCTGATAACCATGATTGTATAATAAGGGCCCAATCAAGACTCTGGGAATGGAAGTAGGTAGGCTTTTTGATCCGTGGAAGATATGCATGTGCATAAAAGAGCCATGTGTCTCTGTTTTGGGAGAGAAGCGCCATGTTGGACTCTCCCAGACCTTGTGCTGTGTGTCTCTGCTTGGTGTGGATTCTCATTTATATCCTTGTTGCAGCAATAAAACAATGACCGTAAATACAGTGCTTCCTATGACTTCCATTAGTTGGTATTGTAAGTTATTGAAACCAAGGCAATAGTGAGAGACAGCAGGTCAGAAGTGAGGAGCTGAGAACCACCAAGATTGCTACATACATCCTGAAGGAGTATTAAATCCCAAATCTGTAGCCAGCAAGTTAGATTTGATGGGAACATTTCGACTACCGAGCTTGAGACTGGTTTCTAAAGTCTAGGATGAACTTGGCAGGCTGGAGGACAGTGTCCTTTAAGTTATCTGGTCTTAGAAGCTCTGGGTAGTTCAGCTTGGGCGAAGAAGTGCTGCACAAGAAATCAGAACAGAAATGATAGAGAAGGTAAAAGTTGGGATTTGATTTTTATTTACAGGGTTACCAGATGTGGGGGTTGGTTGAGGCAAAGAGACTGACTTCTTTGTATTTGTTTTCCATTCCTGACAGACACCATTCCAACAATCAATCTTGGTCCCAGTTTCTAACTTTCTGCTGTCACTTTCAGACCTGACCTTTCCATGACCCCCAAAGGAACCGACATCAGCTTGGTCTAATCTCCTCCTCAGTTTGCCTCAGAAAGAACCTCTGGCTGTTTCCCTTTTCCCCTTCAGACCTATAAGGTAGGAGCTTCCTGCATTGCTACCTCTGTGATAACATGTTCTCATTTTGCTTTTTTAGTGGTCCAACAATTGTTGATCCTTTTTTTTTTTTTTTAATGCTAAGTTGTCTCTTCTGAAATACCTAGTGTTGTTTCTGGTCTCCGGACAGGAACCCTGATGTGAACAAATCTGTTGTTGTGGTTGTTATGTGCCGTCGAGTCGCTTGCGACTCATAGCGACCCTATGCACAACAGCCCTAAACCCTGCTCTGTCCTGTGCCAATCGCACTGCCTCTGACAC